CCCCCCCCCTACAATTCCAGAATATGAGAGAAGTCATTGATGCAAAGGTGGGTTTGCATCCCCACCCTTATTCTTATTTTTATTTACTCTTCTTTTACTCTTGATGAGATTATCAATAGGCCCCAAATCTCTAACTTCTTTGGATAGCTTAACTTTCCCTGAAGTAGTTATGAATGCTTCTTCAACTTCTACAGGAATAGAATTCGTTGTTGAAGACAAGAATTGTTTGTTGGAGAATTCCAGAGAATTGGATTGAATATTGTTTTGTAACAAGATTTTAGTTTGAATGTGAGCTTCATCTCTAGTATTTCCCATGATTTCATCCATACTGGTTTCTTCCAAAGTTTCTTCAAGAGCACTGAAATTATTCTGTAAACAAATTTCAGAATTAATACAAGAAGTACCTTGTTTATCAGGAATTTGATCAGCTACAGCAGCATTGTTTAGTTCTTCAATGATTTCTCCTTCTTCCATGCTATTACCAGGAAATTCTGGAACATTTTTATTTTTGACTGGTCTCCAAATTGTTGAATGCTGATTTCTGGATTCAGAGATTGGTACAGGATTTTTAACAGTTTTGTCAAACTGTTTGTTCTTCCAAAATTTTACTTATCCATGGGCCTAATTCATCCTTATCATTAGAAATTTCTTTATCAAGAGCTTTTCCTTCTTTGACGTTTGTATAGGTAGCAGCTTTTGTAATTGGCATAATCAGAGGACATTTATTTTTGAGATGCCCAATTCTTCCACAGTGATAGCAAAGGGAAGATATCTTCTCATATTCCACATTTTGGAATGATCTTCCATGTTTGCTTTCAATCTAAACTCCTCTTGGAAGTTTTTTATCCAAGTCTATGCGAACACAGACTCTTGCATATTCCCTTTTACCCCACTTGAATGATTTACCATCAAGATAAAGAGGTATTCCAATCATAGAAGCAATTCTACAAATATTTTGTTCATCCCAGCATTGTAATGGCAAACAAGGCATTCGAATCCATATAGGTGCTGACAGACCTTTTAGAGATTCAGGATTAAATGTAGGGGACCATTTATCCAATCCAATTATGTTTCCTCCAATAAACCAAGGACCTCCTTCCATGATTTCTTCTACAGCTTCAGG